TTGGGTTTTCGTCGCTTGGCAACGACGTTGTAAAACAAGCCAATTCACTTCGTGAACTCGGCAACCAGGTTGCCGGGGTTTTTTTGTACCTCTTTTGTTTTGACGGTAACCACAATGGTGGTCGAGTAGATCATGTTGTGCGGGGTGGAGAACCCTCACTCCGCGCAAGGTGGATGATCGCACCACGTTGTGCTAAAATGGTCAAGCACCCTCGAGGCAGTTACACAGTGCTTACAACTGTCTCTGGAAGCGAAAGCACCAGAAAATAAATTGAGTCATCAGCAGCTGTCATCCGTACGCAAGGAAGTAAGCACAAGATGCCGAAAACCCTTTGCAGGATGCAGCGCACCCTTCATGCGACTCGCCGAAACATCTCACGGCGCTTTGCGCTTGGTGATGTGAGAGCCTGGTCCGGTGAGAACCCGGCGTGTTCCGTCCCGGCTTTGTAGGGATGCGAGGTCAATGGTCTAACGACTACGGCATGCACGACTATGAGTACCCCCCCCCCTTCCCACCAATTTGAATCATGGCATCGCAGAAAGACATCCGGGCTGCCAAGAGGGAGGCTAGGATAGCCTTCAGGAAGAACGCCCGCCAGGAGGCCCGCAAGTGAACCAGCATGCCAACATGGCTGCAAAAACCAGATCGCCTCGATCCTAAGACACGGCGCATCCCGTGGTGGGAAGCAACGGTCATCAGCTGGGACGCAACCAAAACCAGCCGTGAATTGTCGGTCAACGTGGTGTTCGAAAGGCCACTACTGTTTGTCCGCCACGGGCTCTTGCTTTCTTTGTATTACGCTTTGAAGGAGTGAGCGTTTGAGGTTGGAAAGTGGGGAGGAAAGAGAATGAGACGGGTGCTCCGAGAGCGGTTGACATATCTGATCATTGGTTTTGATCTCTTTGGTGAACCCCCGAAGTGATATAACCAACGCTCTTTTGCGTTCAGGTAATCTGAAGTATGTTGGTTTTGAGACGGATTTCAGTATTGTTATTTTGGTTTCCGAAGCGCTTTTACGTCCGTGTACTTCGCACCCTGGGGGCACGGGTGTAAAACCTGCAAACGAAAAGGATACGCCTCCAATCACTTCTTTTCTGCATTGCGCCAGAGGCTGAAAGTCCCCGTTTCACGGCACCAACCCCTCGGGGCATCCGGTAACCGCTTCTGCTTCACCGGCGGGGCTACATAGCTACCGTGTTATATTGCGAGGGAGAAAGTTCGTCGCTGGCCGCGTTAAAGTTGATTCTGGGGGGTTGTGCGCATGTTTCATCCCGCCCCACCTATTCCGGAGGGCAAGCCAACACCCACGTACGCCTTTCGGCGTATTTACGCCTTTCGGCGTTGTGTGAGAGGGCGCGCCCACCGCCGACAGACCGAACAGCCAGCGGTAGAACGAAACCGGAGCGGTCGAATTTGTTGGGCGCGCCCACCGCCGACAGACCGAACAGCCAGCGGTAGAACGAAACCGGAGCGGTCGAATTTGTCCGTCAAGAGAGTTTTTGGAAGGTGACCGATCAAGTTTTCCGCCAGCAGGATGAGTTCTTGCTTTTGTCGTGGAAACGAATTGTGGGCTGTTTTTCTTGTTCACGGCGTTTCGTTGAGTGTCGGCGCGATGGCTGGCGCCTGACCCAAATAGAGGGAACCTTCCAAATGGGCAGACTTGCCCGCGGAGGAGCACTGAATACTGTAGGAGGAAAACTTGTGTATGCCGCAAGGTCTGTGTTCGGGGCCGCACCAGCTGCGGAACCAAGAGTTGCTCGCCGCCCCCCGCTCCCAAGGTTGTAGGTTATCGAAGGTCGAAACATGGGACTTCCAGCTTCTGGAGCGTGATCATGTTGTGCATCCCTCTGCGGTTAGACCGCTCTTGACCTCGAATCCTCGAGAGGACGGAGCTTCGTTCCCACAGGACCGATGACCGATGACCGATCATTCCTTCTCGCGTTGCCGAAGGTGACTCAACAACGTTTTTCACATCTACCTATCCTGTCGGTACCTAATTTCCGCCTCTTCAGCCCACTTCCTATGCTCTACTACAGCTGCCGTATTCTCCTGGCTATGCCTCAAACATCTCCTCTACGTAACCTCCTTGTGTCCAGAAAAAACAACACTCATAGTATGGCACATTTCTGTGCCAGCAGGGATTCCCACCGAACGTCGTGCCCATCTCCCAATCAAAGTCGTGCCCATCTCCCAATCATCTGTCTCTGTCTTACATGTGTCTTGCAAAGTCGACGTGTGATCGGTTGGAGACGGGTATCTACCCGGCTCTACCCCTCTTGATAAAAAATAGACGAGTTGTTGGAAGTTCTTCCGTGTCTTACAAAATATTGCCCCGCGTATGGGTCCGCTGCCCAAGTCTGGAGAGTTCATTGTCAGTGGTCTGCACGATGTACGTTGCCCTATTATGCCTTCGTCAGCAGCTACTACTACTGCGTCACAGAATGCAACCAGCAATCCAATCCTTCAACGATCGCGGTCAGCCGCTCATTCCTATCCCCCAAAACGCTTCCTTTAGAACCCTACTGCATGAAGTACGCGTTTTACACGTGAAGAAACGAGACATTTCATGGAGGCCTGCCGGCTGTGACTGAAAAACAGGGCAGCTCAGTCAGTAGGGAGATCTGATACCAGGAGGAGGAACAAGTGAGAGAGAGCAAACCAGCCAGGAAAAGGCAGATTGTCATCCCTGTTGTCGATGATTTCTGCAACAGACAATATAACAAGATAATAAGGAGCGAGGGCTGCGTGCGAAGTAAGCAGGGTGCTACTTTCTCCGGTGAAGCGGTTTTGAGAGAAAAAAGACGATAACTTTGTACAACAACTCCGCTCA